GACTCTTAGTTTTAAATAAAACATAGTCAATAATTACAAATTACAATGCCCATAATAATAAATTATAATTTATAATTGTTGTGAATTGATATGAAATAGAAATAAGGTTTATATAAAATTGATAAGTTATCTGTTTAATAATTGATACCTATGTCCTTACCACAGTTTTTCATAAATATAATATCACATACATATATTACATTATTAATTACAACTTTATCTAGTATAGTATATAAATATAATATTTATAGATACATAAATGAAGTGAATTATTTAATTTTTGTTTTATGGAAATTTGTGAATGTATTAGATACTGAGCGTATTGATTTTACAATGATGCGTGGGTTTTAACTTTTTTTTTGTGTCTGTCACCGACCTTGGGACAGTAAAAATGTTTCAATTTTCATCAACTGTATCTTTTATGGTAGGTACCTAAGGAAAGCGAATCTAGTTGGTACTTGGGGGTATATAAAGTAAAAAATTCCCAATAATTTTCAAAAACATCAGGAATAACAAATAAAAAATTAAAAAGAAAACTGAGATTTTTACGCAAAAACTGTTTTCGAAATTGTTTTTTAATTGAACTTTAWAAAAATTATTGTATAGATGTTATGTACGATATTTACTGAATGTTTATACTGACATTTTCTTTACATACGATTTTATATCGATAAAATTATTTTTGCTGTATCAATAAACTTGAAAATTCTATAAAACTTTCCKCTAAGGTTAGGTTATGACTAGTTATATATTATATTGAATAAATAAATAAAAACTATTTGGTACTATTTGTTAATTTCTAGGTTGGCGAACAGAGTTAGGTATATATTAGTTGTTTACAGGGTTATATTCATCGAGCATGCTCACTCCCTTTTTTCTTTAATTAAGTAGTAATTCAAAAACTTTCTTGAGATTTTTTGTACTATACGTACATAAAGAGTGTCATGTGATATGTGAAGACAAAAACTGTAATTGAAAATACCCCTTTCCAAGTTTCCAACTATAAATTATACAGTGGATAATTTTTCTGAAAATTTCGACGTATCAGAATTCAAATTCRTACGAGTAGTTTTTGAGTTATTCAACTTTATGTTCTAAAGATAAAAGGTCGATGATATAATAACTTATAATATACGGCGGCTATGGTGATTTGACATTTTAATCATTAATATTTATATGTCTACATTGATCATTTGTATATAAAAGTGACCGAAATATAATAAATAATAGGTCCAAATTTATGTATATTTTATATTTTATTTAAAATCATTTTTAAAGAATATTATTCTCATTCCTTATAGTACAAACATTTTAAGAACTAAGAATCTACTTATTCAAATTTAAATTAGGAACATCAACATTTTCAAAAAAAATATCCACTAAATAATATTTACAGTAATAGTAAGGGAGTTTTCACTCAAAAAAAGAAGTTTATGTCGTTAGAACACGTCATCTAAAGTAGTACAAAAATTCCAGAATTTYAAATTATGGTTTAAAGATATTTAAAAATCAGAATTTTTATAAATAAATAATTAAAATTCAAAATGAAAGTGAGCATGCTTCGTGTATCATCTTGTAAAAAATAAAAATACTTTTAGATAATACTGGTTAATTTTATAGATTGGTGGATGGAGTTGTTTAGGATTTAGAAGGTATCTTATA